ATTAGTGTGCTGGAACCTAATGTATTTCGTTGTTTTGTAGCTTTTTTAACAACTGTTATAAACATTCCCATTACCACTGTAACTTTTCAAACCAATCCGTTGAGTTAACTTGAAAGTATTTATGGGGATTGTTACAATAAAGTTTGTTATCATGACCTAGTTTGTTTATTTACAATTACAGACTGCCCCTTACTTGTTTGTAGGGAGGGCTGGTAAATGGCGAAATCAAACTGAAACCTTTTTCTGCACCAAAATAGTTATACCTTTCTCCTTCCCATTATTTTGATCCACAAAGTTAAATAATTCAAAATATGAAAGAACAAGAAAGATTTCTTTACCCCCAATAAATGTAGCAGTCCCTCCCCTCCTCTTCCCATTACTTAAAGAGGTAGGCAGTCTGAACTGTGTTAAATTCTGTACAACAGTATACACAAGTAACTTGGCTCTCTTTAAGGAACATTATCAAGGAGGTTAGAAATAAACAGGTTAAAAATAGAGGGAATCATATTTTCCTTACAGACCTTATAAAGAGGCAAAAATTGCCCTCTGCATGCTGAAAAGTCCCAAGACTGAACCCTCTTGGAGCAATGAGTCATGATTAGGGAGTAATAAGTCATGATTCTCGACCGCGGTAAAATGAGGGCCATAACTAAGATACAAAGGAAACATTTCTAGTTTCTAAGAGTACTTCACCTTTACTGGCCTGGATGTATCGACCACTAGCTGGACTTCTATGTCCTCCAACTGACGTCGAAACTTGTTGCTCCAAGACAATATGAGATTCTTAAAATGATCCTCCTCTGTTATAACTAATTCCTCCACGTGACTAGTACTTTTTGACGCTTGTCACCAACCAAAGGCAATAACAACTGACTTCAATGTATCAAAGAGCTCCAGTGGAAGGTTTCTTCTAAGTCTTATTTCCCTGGGATGCTGAAGTGACGGAGAACGTTTCATCAATCTGCAAATACTTTTATTCCACCTGTAAACGTCTCTAGCTAACATTCTCGATGGCTGCTCCAAATAGTATTTGTAGCGTTGTTGTTCGGGAAACGGGTGATGTTTGACGACGGCTCTTGAAAGTTGTAAAACCTCATTGCCAATGTCGGTCGCTAGATTTTTATCATCCACATTTGCAATGCAAGAAGCAACAGTTTCGTGAACTCTCACGATAAGTTCCGCAATCTTAGAAGAAAACAATATTTTTGGGCGAAATGCCGCTGAATAAAGTTATCACTGCGGGCGGACGAGTGTGCCGATTTCATGCTCACGCCAGCCCGGCGTGATTCTGGCTTTTTGCATGTGATCTGTAATAGAAATGTATCATGCCCTGCTCCCGAGATACAGGGAGAGGGCATGATCGCAGGCTAGCCTTTTGCCGTAAACGCGACTCTAAATCTCTGATTTCCTTCTCAACGACTACTACAATCCATAAAATTGGTCTCATAAGAGTTACTGCCACGATCACTCCTGTCGATTCGGAATCGTAGAATTACCATGGTTGACGGCAATGTCGAAACATCAGGTTCAAGTATTACGATTAGTCAAGTTAGGAAATCAACAAATAAAAAGTGAGGAAATTATCCTTACGGATAAACCTGGCATGAATGTCTTTTCTTTTGAGTAGGAAAGATAAACATTAAATGATAAATAAAGAGAAAGCTTAGCAACATGTTTCAAAATGGCGTTAATAATCGTAAACGTAATTCTAAGCCTCTAGACGCCTGCGTTTGCATCGAAGTTCTCCAAGGAACCAATGGGACAGGCCTGGCAACAGTCCTTTTCGGTCTGTTTCACCATTCCTGCTTTACTTCCTAAAATCCCTTGCTGATCCTTTTTTTTTTAAACTACCGTTAATGCTTTGCACAGATACCAGAAAATAAATTCAAGACTTTTCCAGACTTTTTTCCAAAACAATAATTTCTTTTTCCAGACTCAAGGTTATCAAATAGGTCAGTAATCAACAGAGACCTTAAAAAACGCAGGAACAAAGATTTTTTCATGATACATGTAGGCTGAAAACATACGGGCGAAATTGAATAAGATTTGACCAAAACGAAAAAAAATTCAATCATAAAACACTATTTGTTGTAGCTTTAAAAGAAATTCAAGATTTTTTGCTATTTTTCCAGACTTTTTTCAAGTCTGGAAAATTGTTGAAAATTGCTGCTCTGTACGAACCCTGAGTTTTGCACAAGGTATTTCACTCCATAACTTAGGGGGTGTTTGCATGACACCGGGGCGACTTTCGCCACGGAGCGAGTTCACTCCGGTTCCCTCTCATGGCTCTATATTTGTTTACATGATACCACCTCAAAATGTCATACCGGTGCGAGTCACCCCGGCGGGAGTTCACCCCGGCTCTTGAACCGGGGCGAGAATTTCACTCCGGTATGAAATCTCGCAGCGGTATCATGTAAACGCGAAACGACCACCCGTTTCGGTGTGAAATCGGTCTGCCGGTAGACTGGAACGGGTAGCGCATGCCTAATGTCTGCGATTTTGAATCACACGTGTATTTTATTATCATGTGTACCTTCAAATGACGAGGTATGAAATGACCCAGTCATCATGTAAACGCGTAGCCTCCCCCGCAGACATTCTAAGGCGTACGCCTAAGAATGTCTGCGGGGGAGGCTAGTAAACGCGATACGAAATCAAAAAGTCATCCTAGTATGAGACTCGCGCCGGTGCGAGTTTTCTCACGCAAACACCCCCTTACACGTGTACACCCCCGTAGTGAGAGCTACTTTGGGTCCCAAGGGAGATGGATTTTGATTTTCGTCGCTATCCAGATCTTGGTAGTACTTCTGATTGGTGAAAGCAAATTTTTAACCAATCAGAATTACCACCCAGATCTGGGTAGTGACACGTCATCAGTATGGAATTTCTGCGTTCGTTTCTCAGACGTCATTTCGAGGGGAAACCAGTGGTGGCGTCGCGAAATGTCAGTTGTTTTCTCAGGCTAAGCTGGGTCATTTACGAGTGGAAATGTCACGACATTTGATGCGCGTATCATGGCAGAAAGGCTCTACGTACGCGTGACAGAAATTAATGTGCAACGATGCTAAAGTAAGGTGATTATTGGCCTCAACAATGTGCACAAAACCTTTTAGCCAGGTGGGAATGATGGAAGAAAAAGCCTCCTTTGAAGCTTCACTATAGATTGAGCTTTTTGCCAGGGTACCGAAAACTAGATTGGACACTCGTGGCTTACGGGAGCTGTAGCACGAAAGAGAGAGAGCTGCCAGCAAAGTGAGTAAAACAAAAATAAAGCCTCAGAACACTAAGATAAGGTATGAAAACGCAGCAAATACAAAAGGACGCATGGATAGACAAACAAGAAGAAGATTGAAACGAATTATTATTGTGGTTTTTCAAAACAGTTTTTCAAAGTTCGTTTTTGTTGTTTGCAACGTTTGATATTTGCGTTTGATATTTTGGGGAGATATCTCATTGCTTTATACAAAGCT